ATATATATATATATATATATATATATATATATATATATAAAAAGTAATGATACAATATAGTAATCCATATGGAATTTACAAGAGAATATAGATCCAGGGAGCTCTATGTCAAAAGACAGCACAAAGGTACTTTTTTAATATTATTTACTGAATTTGTTGAATGAAATCTGTCAGTTATGTGCCATGTGTGATACATACATAGGCGATCATATATCTTTCAATACATGACTGACGAGGCAGATTTTTTCCCCCACAGTAAGTTGCCATTACTTTCTGCGGTAGACCAGTTGCCTTCCAAGGCTAAAGAACCTGTTCTGTCTTGCTATTTACCCATAGCTGGAGGGAGAAGAGGATTCATACCTTTCCCACGGGTATTAGCATGTAAGTGATTGTAATGGATTTGAGTGGAATTTGAACTCGGCTCTCCGATTCCTCAATCCGAGCCACTATCCATTACTCCACTATGCGTCCTCAATGAAATACAGGGGATTAACTCTGATCTAACATTTCCTTAGTTTAAAGTACATTCATATCCTGCTAAATATTAATAAATACATCTAAGATATAAAAGTTCAAGATTCCATGTATATAACATTTATAAATATGTTTCTCTGAACATAATTAATAATCATTTAATTCAAATTTCTTAGGTAATTTAATTTAAATTTCTTGGTTAATTATATAAAAATCTTTAAAATGCCCTCTTTTAACATTATTTACAAGTAATTTGTGGAATAAATTATAACAGCATTGAAATTTACCTGCTGACAGAAACAGATGAGATTGTTCATACTGAACTAACTACACTTTAAGTCCCTCCACCATCCTCAAATAGCATACTGAGGTCAATATATCAGAATAGGTCAACACTCTCTGCCTTTTCCCACTCTATAAATAAAACAGCAATATCTCTTGATTTATTAAAAGAACATGTAAAAATCACTACACAATTGCAGTTGTGTTTCAACACATACCAATGCGACTCCTCAGGCGATTGTAAATTACTGGTGGGTGAACAATTAATTTGGTTTCAAAAAGCGAAGTATACATCCTCTTTTTACAAAAATATAAAATAAATAAATTTTTATATTATATATATATATATATATATATATATATATATATATATATTTTATACACACACAATAAACATTTTTAGTGGGCAGATGTATTTGAATTTGCTATCCATTTCTTTTTTTAATTTTTTTCAAACAGTGAAATTAATAACAAGCAGCCTAGACTGAGAAAGCCTACTAAAGGAAGATTATGCCTACAACAGGAATTGAACCTGTACCCCTTTTCCATAAAAAAACAAAGTTTCTATAGTCAAAATATGCCTTTAGCAATTCACTTACATTGGAATCGTAATCACGATCCAATTCGTCAGACCTACAAATTCAATATAGAGCAAGGTATTTATTCCTTAAATGTCATTCAAACCTTGGCCTATCAATGCAGCCTCTGTGGCCAAGTTGATAAAGGCACATTTTGACTATAGAAATAGTTTCTTTCAAGAAAATGGGATACAGCTTCAATTCTTCTTAGAGGCACAATCATTTTTTTTTTTTTAGAGGGACTTCTCAAAAATTGATCCCTATTTCATTTACACCTGAAATAGTTACATGAGCAGTGAAAAAAAAAACACACACACACACAATAAAGGAAGTAAAATAGAATAAAATAAAAATAAAAATAATTTTGTAACAATACAAAGTTTTGTATGAAAACCGGCCATCAATGCCTTAATATCTGGTGGCCATCTGTCCCTGTCATTGCTATCAAACATCTGGTAAAGTAATTTTTATCGAATGAAACAAAGCAACTCTATAGGACGAAAAGGAACTTTATTGTTGTTTTAATTGTCAATATTCAAGTGGAGTTGTGTGTGTGTATATGTGAAAACATAAGCATGTATGTTTGTGAACCTGTACAACTAATGTTGATTGGTCAGAACATTAACCTTTCAGTCAGGAGACGCAGCCTCAGATTTCAATGTGGTTAATTTGTCAATCAAGGAAGACAATCCATCAGCCCAACTTCTGCAATTCAGACCTGCCATGCGATGGACACAATAGTGAATCATTCTCATTCCCTTCGTATTCCATTAGTAAGTAAGAAGTCACTCGGACAGCTTCTTCACAAGTGCTCTTATGTTGAACAAATTCCCAGAAAGATGTTTTTCTAATCACTACTACCTTGACCTTTTTATTCAATCATTTTCTACTGCATATTAATGTTTTGCAGGTAATTTAAAGCTAGAATTTTTTTTTTTTAAAGATAATGATTTAGTAATGCAAGTCTTATTAATTGACCCCTAGCTAAGAAAAGGTGGCTTCAGATTTTTCCCAAAGGTATTTGCAAGAAAGTAAATATAATGAACCCAAGTGGAATTGGAACTCATCTCACCAATTAAAAATTCTGAGCCATTATCCATTACGCCATCAGCACATCCAAGCTTACAGTGCTTGGTATTTCCAAGTGATCACCCATAAAATGATCACCCATCTAGGTACTGACCAGGTTCAACATTGCTTAACCTTGGTGATCGTATGAGAACTGGTTTTTCAATATGATTTGGCAGTAAGACCTTGACCTCTTCAAGTGCAAGGTTAACTTATCCTTTGAACATAACGCCATGAACTTCACTTCTTGTCTTTTCTTACACTCATACAACACCACACAGTAACCCTCTACCTTGAGTGGCTCTTGGACCTTGTATTGGCAAACAGTATATTGAAATAAAAATAAAGACTAATTATGATAGTAACCCAAGAAAAGTTTTTTTAAACTTTTTAAAAAAAATGTAAGTAAAAAAAAAAAAAAAAAAAAAAAGTAATAAAAAAAAAATAAGTAAAAAAAAAAAATAAAAAAAAAAAATAAAATAAAAAAAAAAAAATAAGAAAAAAAAAATAATACAAACTGAAAATATCTATTACTATTTAGTACTATTATAATTCTCAGAGGCAAAGAACTCGGAAAAACCCATATTAAATTTCAACATCAAGAAATTCGAAACAACATCTTATTTGTAACTAATTTAATTAATCTGGTTTCTAATTCCTCATGGAGGAAAGGAAATCATGCCTAATTTATGGCATCCAGTGTCCTGCAAGTACGTACACATCCCTGCATTGCCCTCTGGGTTAGCAAGGTAGGTAGAGCATATGTTGACTGAAATTATTAAGCTTAATACAAGAAAAAAAAATACATTTCCCACTTCATTAGAGGATACAAAATTTAATGTATAATTCATTGAATGACTATTTTCATATTAGGCCTAATTCTTCTGTGCATTTCACAACAGCTGTCACACATTTAGTATAGATTGAATAATGTGTATGTGCGTATGTATATAATATAAAAAGCTCAAACACTAATATTACATGGTTATAATTTATTACATTGGAATCGTAATCACGATCCAATTCATCAGACCTACAAATTCAAATTTTTGAATAATATGTGTATAAGCAATTAATGTTATTTTTCATCAGATATTATTATTTTTAACATTATATTTCATGTGTAATTCTATTTAGCTTTGCTGTAATGGCGTCCTGTGGTGTAATGGTAAAACATGCTGGGCCTTGAAAGCAGTTTCACAGATTAAAAAGGAATACAGATTAGAGACAAAGTTTGCTTAAATATATACGTGACTAACAGAGTATTAGTTTTTTTTTTTTTTAAAATCTTTTCTTATTGTGACAGGTTTTTTGCTGATAAAGGTCAACTGATTCCCAAGTAATTAGTGATGGTATATGCTTCAAAATTCATAAGGCTTGACAATGCTTTTTCTAATAAAAAATAAGATAAAATATAATGTTAGTCAATAATTAATAAAAATGGATGACAATGATTCATGAAATAAAAATGAAGATTAAAGTCAATGCGTTTCGTCCTCCGAGTGACTTTATCAAAGCAAATCCTCAGATTTCCCATGATGAAGTCCCTCAAAGGACGAAACACATCGACTAAGTTTTCTTTTTGTATGTACATTTGCAGAATTTTATTTGTGGAAATGAAGTACATCTTCTGTCCATTTCCTTTCTAACGGTAAACAACACAAGATATTTCCTTTTGTGACCTCCATAGATAGAAATAAAGAGAGTTAAAGAAATTAAAATAAAATAAAGCCACTAATGAATTTGTTTGTCATGCAAGTAGCAGAAAAAAAATTTCAATCGTACTTCTCTCACCCAATTGAAAACAAATTCAAAAGGCTTAAAATGAACAAAAATTCGATTGAGCCTGAAAGAGAAAAGGTGGCATTCTATTTTAATCCCCACCCCATTTTCCCCCTCACTTCCAACGCCCCTCCCCCATATCGGCAAATATTACTGTGAAGATAATGACACAGAATTTATGTTTAAACATATATATATATATATATATATATATAGAGAGAGAGAGAGAGAGAGAGAATGTGGAATTTTTTTTTTTTTTTTTTTTTTATTATTACAGAAGAAAGAGATAAATTTTATATTTTTTTTTAAGGGATCTCAGCTAAATATTTGGTTGGGTATGAAGAGAGAGATATAAATGGTGGCATGAGTTATTCAGTGGTTATGGGAAGGAAAACATTTTGAAATGGTATTTCATTTGATGAAGATTGGCAGTGAATTTCTATCCGAAGCCTCAGACAATTCATTTCTTAAAATAATGGAGGCAGCAAAGAGGAATAATTGAAAGGATTGAAATTGCTTCAGCTGGCACCAGAGAAGAGAAAAAAAATTGTTTGGCAATGAGAAAAGAATGCCAGGCATTAGAGATGCACTTTATACGAGAATGACCCTAAAAGACCTTCAGAAAGTCTTCATTTTTTTTTTTTTTAACTAACCTCATGCATAACCGTTTACAACAAGTCAGGTGTGACATTCCTTACAGCTGAGCTCTCCATCTGTAATCTGATATCCTTTCTTAACTCTTTCTTCTTTACGACCAGAAATTATTAATGCCTAAAAAGACTTGCTTAATTTTCCTGTAAGAATCAAACATGGAACAAATGCACTAAATATCAACCAAGGATGAATGTGAGTGAGTGAGAGCCAAAGCGCAGGAAGGAAGGAAGGAGAGAGAGAGAAAAAACGAAAACGAGAGAGAGAGAGAGAGAGAAAAAACGAAAACGAGAGAGAGAGAGAGAGAGAAAAAACGAAAACGAGAGAGAGAGAGAGAGAAAAAACGAAAACGAGAGAGAGAGAGAGAAAAAACGAAAACAAGATATGAGAGACAGACAAAAACAAGATATGAGAGACAGACAAAAACAAGATATGAGACAGACAAAAACAAGATAAAACAAAAAAAAACAAGATATGAGAGACAGACAAAAACAAGATATGAGAGACAGACAAAAAACAAGATATGAGAGACAGACAAAAAACAAGATATGAGAGACAGAAAAAACAAGATATGAGACAGACAAAAAACAAGATATGAGAGACAGACAAAAACAAGATATGAGAGACAAAAAAACAAGATATGAGAGACAGACAAAAACAAGATATGAGAGACAGACAAAAACAAGATGAGAGACAGACAAAAACAAGATATGAGAGACAGACAAAAACAAGATATGAGAGACAACAAAAACAAGATATGAGAGACAGACAAAAACAAGATATGAGAGACAGACAAAAACAAGATATGAGACAGACAAAAAAACAAAATATGAGAGACAGACAAAAAACAAGATATGAGAGACAGACAAAAAACAAGATATGAGAGACAGACAAAAACAAGATATGAGAGACAAAAAAACAAGATATGAGAGACAGACAAAAACAAGATATGAAACAAAAACAAGATATGATACAGACAAAAAACAAGATATGAGACAGACAAAAAACAAGATATGAGAGACAGACAAAAAACAAGATATGAGAGACAGACAAAAACAAGATATGAGAGACAGACAAAAACAAGATATGAGAACAGACAAAAACAAGATATGAGAGACAGACAAAAACAAGATATGAGAGACAGACAAAAACAAGATATGAGAGACAGACAAAAAAAGATATGAGAGACAGACAAAAAAGATATGAGAGACAGACAAAAACAAGATATGAGAGACAGACAAAAACAAGATATGAGAGACAGACAAAAACAAGATATGAGAGACAGACAAAAACAAGATATGAGAGACAGACAAAAACAAGATATGAGAGACAGACAAAAACAAGATATGAGAGACAGACAAAAACAAGATATGAAGACAGACAAAAAACAAGATATGAGAGACAGACAAAAACAAAGATATGAGAGACAGACAAAAACAAGATATGAGAAAACAAAACAAGATATGAGAGACAGACAAAAAACAAGATATGAGAAAACAAAACAAGATATGAGAGACAGACAAAAACAAGATATGAGAGACAGACAAAAACAAGATATGAGAGAGAGATAGACAAAAACAAGATATGAGAGAGAGAGAGACAGACAAAAACAAGATGAGAGAGAGACAGACAAAAACAAGATGAGAGAGAGACAGACAAAAACAAGATGAGAGAGAGACAGACAAAAACAAGATGAGAGAGAGACAGACAAAAACAAGATGAGAGAGAGACAGACAAAAACAAGATTAGAGAGAGAAAGACAAAAACAAGATGAGAGAGAGAAAGACAAAAACAAGATGAGAGAGAGAAAGACAAAAACAAGATGAGAGAGACAGACAAAAACAAAACAAGAGATAGAAACGAGCGAGAAAGCATATAGTTACAAGGAAGACAGACAAAGCATGTAGATGCAAGATAGGGAGTGAGATTGAGGGTGATCTGGGGCAGGAACTTGTTTTCAGCTGTGCACCCAAGGGCTGAGAATACCTCGCAGTCATCTCCCCACCCATAAGTGGCTCCTTTACAACAAACTGTTAAGCGATAACCCAAGAAGAGCAGGTCATCATGTTGACTGGTAGACTGAAGAAGCAAACAGCCTGGATGAAGTCTTACTGGTATCAGCCAGGGATTAAGGGCAGGCTTGGGAGGGGTAGAGGGAAATTGAAAAGCAGGGCTAGACAACATGCATTTAGCTGGGTGGAAACAATAAGCCTTAGGATTTGGAGGGTGAAAAAAAAAAAGAAAGAAAAAAAATAGATAATATTGGTGAGAGAGCAAATAGTTGAGGAAGTTGGAAAGTAAAATCTGCCTTTAAATGTAATCGTTTCGTTCATTTAAAATACAATCACTGACACCAGACACCAATTAACAATTCCAACATGTAGTCTTTTAAAGTGAAAGGAAAATTTCATTAGACACAAAGAAAAGACTGAACCCACTTATATAATGTATAAATATCAATTCTATCATATGGCAGTCAATGACAGACAATTTCCTTAAAGATGAAGAGGAGGAACTGAAGTTAAAAAAAAAAAAAAAAAAAAAAAAAAGATGTGATTCTATAAAACATTTCTCAACTTTTTTTAAAAGAAAATTCAGGGTGCACAGTTGGTTTTCTCACACTTCTCACTTGTGGAACTCTTCAGTCTTCTCGCTTTCCACTCAAGTTTAATCGTCAAAAATTTAAATGGAATGTCAATCGTTATCATCTGTCTTCTTAATTCCCATTCTTTTATTGCTCTTGCTCTCTCTTTAATAATATCTTCTTTTTCTCATATTCTTTCACACTCAATAACCCCTTGCATCTTAGTGGCTTTATTGCCTTGCCTGGGGTAAAATGATTAAAATAGAAAAAGGGTTCTTCCATATCTACCTTACTACCTATTGCATGTCATGCACAAATGAGTTAAATAGTTTTAACCTTCTGACTTAGTGTTAATTACACCAAAGATGACATGTCACCTAATAATTCCAAAGAGTGGCCCCCAAACTTTTGGCTTGGAATCATATATAGGGTGCGATGGATAAATTGTCGTCTAAATGGCGCAAAAATGAAAATAACACTGGCATCTAATTGTAAGTTATACATCATGCAATGAATAAATTGTCGTCTAAATGATGCAAAAAAAAAAAAAAAAAAAAAAAAAAAAAAAAAAATAACACTGACATCTCATTTTAGCAGATATATTTACCAAAATTACAAAAATATCTTGAAATTGGCTTGAACCACAGCCTCCAGACTACTTTGGAATCTCTTGCAACTCTTCTGGAGGGTCTCCTTGTTTAAGTTGGTGAATGCTGCCATAATCCTTGCCTTCAGTTCATCTTTGGTATTGCAAGTAAAGTTTGATCTCCAAAAATTTAAATGCAATGTCAATCATTATCATCTATCTTAATTCCCGTTCTTTTATTGCCCTCTCTCCTTAATAATGTTTTACAAATCACAATGTCAAATATAAAAGGAAAAAGATGCATGGAATATTGCTGCCACATCTGGTCAGGTGCTTTTGCTATGAATCTAGAGATTATTGATGAAATCCAAAGAAGAATCCACAATGTTATTGGTCCTGGCATCTCAGCTTCAGTCACTTTCCCACCACTATAATTTAGCTTCCCTTTGCCTTTTCTAAAAATATTTTCATGGTAATTATTCTAACGAGATTTCCTCTTTGGTACTTCAACTTCATAAATTTAAGTACGATACTAGATTAGCAGGTTGGTATCATTTTAATTGAAAGGCTAGACATAACTATAGCTTGGACTGCTTGCTTATGGAACTCTCTTCTGGCCACATTTGGTCATGTGCTTATGCTATGTATCTAGAGAATTTTGATAAAATCTAAAGAAGAATCTGTGACATTATCAGTCCTAACCCGGCATCTTGGCTTCAGCTACTTTTCACCCCCACCACTGTACCTATGATTTTTCTATAAACATTTTCATGGTAGATGTTTTAATGAGCTTTCCTCTTTGGTACATAATGAGGATTAATTAGGATTTAAATAGAGAATTTTCAGTATTATGGTGACTGTCAAGAAAGAATTTATTGTTTTGGTGTAAGGAATATTATAGTTTGTTTGGGTCAGTAATTGTTTGATCTTCAAAGATTTAAATGCAATGTCAATTGTTATTATTATGTCATAAATAGGAAAGGTTGACACACATATAGAAAATAAGTAGTTTATTCTGGAGAATAAGGTACATGGTTGAGAACACAGACTAAATTTAATAAAGAATTAATCATTAACTCCTCTCCATTTACAAACCTTCCCACAAGGCAAGATGTGGAACAAGCCAAGTTTTTAATACGGGACATTCCGAGCCTATAAGCTTAGGCAAAAGTTTCCTGTAGACCCCATATACACAGGATCGGGTTTGTCTACCTCCCCACATGAGACTGACCTTTGGATATAGCCTCCTGGGTTCCTCTCCACCCAGAGGCAGAGAGTTCAAGAGAGGAAGAGAAAGCTTCCTCTTCATCCTCTTACTCAGTAAGATAGAGTGTTGTTTAGTCTTAGACTAATCCATTTTGTGTGTGTGTGGGGGGGGGGGGTGGGGGTTAGCTACTCCAAAACAGTTATCTTCTTAATTCCTGGTTGTTTATTGTTCTCTCTCATTTTTTCCACATATTCTCTAACACTCAGTAACCCCTTGCATCTTAGTGGCTTTATTGCCTTGCTTGGGGTGAAATGATTAAAAACATATGATGCCCAAATCATACAGTCTTAAAATTGGGGTCTGGAATGGATTCCCTATTGAATATCAAAACATGTCCGTTTTAGATGACGGACAAAAATCTTTGTTCCTACCTGTGGTAGAACAGTCCTTTATACAGCATTTAGATCAGGTGTTATAAGTAATCTCAAATGTACAAGATGTTCATAGATTAATGTAAATATGGCTAGATTTATCTAAGTTTTGTGATGTATGGTGGCCGTTAATGATGAAGTATAACTCAAGACTACAATGTTAAAATAAAATGATATTTAATTACAATCGCAAATAAATATTTAACAAGAACAAAGAAGTAAAAGTCAACCAAAGATAATAAACCATTTTAGTGAATATCTTGTTTAGTAGGGTCATCTCAATAGGACAAAAAGAAGTGACCTCCCTGATAAATCTAGGGGAGATTTGAACATTGGTCTCATGGTCAGACTGAGGGACATCATAAACAATAGGCCACACCCACATCTACAACATAACAGAGCCTAAAACTGGATTTTACTTTCCGATTCAAGAAAATATAGTTTTCCTGATTGCAGGATTTACTATTTTCAGATTGTCCATATTTCTATCGTCTATGAGTGAGAGTGAGCATAGAGAGAGAGAGAGAGAGAGAGAGAGAGAGAGCATGAGAGAGAGAGAGCGTGTGTGTATGTGAGAGTGTGAGAGAGAGAAAGAGAGTGTGAGAGAGTGAAAGAGAGTGTGAGAGAGAGAAAGGGAAAAAAAAAACAACACACACTGACACTTTTCCTCCCCTATATCAAAATAAGAAACATTTTAGAACCTCCCACTCCTGCCTCTAACAGAAGGAGGAAGTGAGTTATCAGTGCCCCACAGGCAACATGTCTTGGGGATAAACACTGGCAGAGTAATTTACATTTATAGGCTTGTGAGATGATGAAAGAGAGAACTCTGGTCAAATATAGGCATGACGTTACCATGCCAACAAGAACCAAGATTAGACTAACACTATTTTCAGCCACTCCACACACACATACACACACACCTGTCCACTTGCCAGACAATACAAACATATATGTAAATATATAGGCATTTTCCAATGTCAGTAGCATCTGACACAAAGAAAGATCCCCTTGAGATGCTTGAGGAAGACACTATTTGCCTTAACTTGGCATGAATACACAAGAACAGTTGTTGGTTAGTTTTGTCATGCAAAGTGTGTGCATATATTTTAGGAAAATCTATGACAAAGTGGGAAAAAATTTTTTATGTGATGCATTTTGTCATTTAGGACATCAGCAGACTGAAGTGATATTTGTGCTGATGTGAATGCACATGTGCACAAAGTAGTGGGAGATACTGGAATTGTAAACTTTTAAATTGCAATTTATTATTTTTAAATATGTTTGGACATATAGCTTAGCCGAATTCATTTAGTTTCTTTTTCTCATTTTCGTTATTAAGTTCCCCCTTTGTGATGGCAACAGAAGATCTGCTAAGAAAGGTGGAGTGTTGTTAGAACCTGAACGCATCTTTCCCATACTGTCAACATGGAAAAATATCAAATAAATGTGCGTGTATTAGAATGTGCAAGGATTAACAACAATGTGTTATGTCTGGAAAACCAGAAGTCAAAATGGCTACAATGGAAAGAAAAAAAGAAAAAGAGAGAAAAGGTAAAAAAAAAAAAAAAAATATCAAAGGAATGAGTGTAAAGTGAAAAAAAGGACAAATAGCAATGATGTTCTACATTATCTGTTTATATTTCTGAGATGAGGTATCATGTACACTATTTGCATTATTTGGACTATTGTCCTCATCTTTGTCGCCTTATTTATTACAATGTTTCAGCCGTTGTACACTCTGGCCTTCTTCAGGTGGTTGGAATGTCGAACTGAACCCTTTATTTTGCTCACTTAAACATGGCATGTGGAACTAGAACAGTCTACCCCAGTGAGCGAAATAAAGGGTTCAGTTTGACATTCCAACCACCTGAAGAAGGACGAAGCGTACAATGGTTGAAACGTTGTAATAAACATGGTGACAAAGATGAGGCCAATAGTCCGAATAATGTAAATATTGGACATTCTACATGTATACACATCCGCGCAGACGAACACATACATACACCATGAAAAAAAAAAATCTTGCACCAATGAAAAGTGCATATAAAAAAGAAAAATCGAGAAGTATAAGCGGTCAATTGCTGATACAAGTGGACAGAATGATTGCTAGAAGGTCGGTCTATGAAACTCTGGAGTCGGGATGCTGAAGATAACACCAATCAGCTAAGTGACAAATGATTTTTTAAGGGATTTTTTTTATTTGACATTATTTCCTATTAGAATAAATGTTAATTATAGTAATCACCCATGTTTTTGTTGTTATCCCTGCTTTTTTTTTTCTTACACAGTGAAATTAATAATGACTAACCTATTGATAAGTTTCACTAAAAAAATTATGCCTCCAACAGGAATTGAAACTGCATCCCCTTTTTCTACCAGGGAAAGCAGTTTTTTTAAGCAAAGCATGCTGCTTATCATTTTGGCCATGGAAACAAGCCTGACACAACAAGGTTTGAATTACCTATTTAAGGAAAGCATATTTTTAGTTGGGAGTTATATATTAGTTTAAAATTTTCCTATATTTATAGGGGAAGAGTAGTTATAATCAGAGATAAAGCATTTTTAGATGTGGACACAGGGGTCAATGCTGCATGGTGACTGTCAGTTTCATGTCTCAATGCAATCTTTAGTCCAAGAAGACAGTCAGTAGACAGTATTGATTCCTAGGTTTTCAAACACACACAGGAGAAACCGTCATTAGGAGTTGGTTAGGTGAGGCCAAATTTCGTGCTTTCAAGTGAAAGCAAAATAGAGAGCCTACTCAAATATGAGTATCCACTAAAAATAACGATTAAAGTGATAAAGATCTGTCAGATTAAAAAAATAAAAATCTATTCTTACATTTGGATACAAAACTGCAGATATGAAAAACTTTATGAAATGATCCAACAGCAGAAATTTTGCTTGGAATCATCAATTTTGGCCTCATCAGGCCAACTATACTCTTTACAGCCAAAAAGTTGGTTCATATATACTACAAATGGTAGTTACGACATTGGTGATATTTAATTTGCATAACTTTTAAAAGTGTATTTCAATAAATATTTTTATTTTTTTTTTATTTCAAACTTTATAAATTGCCACAGATAAGCAATGTTTTAGTCGATAATGTTTTATCTCTAAAATTCATTGTTTTTGTATAGAGAGAATTTACATCTAGCTTGTCAAAATTCAGTTGTAATAGAAAACTTAGTTTCCATAATAAGCATTGTTGCAATCTGATATTTCACATCACTAAAAATTAGTCAAGTGGAGTAAAAAAATAAACTTGAGAAAGAAAACTTACACAATTATCTAAATAAGTCATGATAACCCATATAATTAGTTTTTTAAAACTGTACAGAATTATTTAAACAAGTGATAAATTCAATGAAATTATTATTTATACCCTAGTCATTTGAACATGAGTAGAAGTTTATTCTTTGTTTCCAATTTAGGACTGGGTTTAAACTAGTTCAGCTCTATACTTCTGTCCCTGACTAAAATCTGAAATTTAATTTTATATTTATTCTTTTCTTTTAATAAGAATAGATAGATTCTCTTATCACTCAGTTCACACTCCTCTTCAATCTTTTAAACAGGAGTAGAGTTTTATCCCTTGTTTCCTGTTTAAGATTTGGGTTTTGGGGTCCTTTTAAAGTTTTCTCATTCTCTTTCAATCCCAATAGCCCCTTGCATCTTAGTAGCATTATCCCTTGCTTAGAATAAATTGATTAAAAAATAGTAGTTAAAAAAAGAGGAGAAAATAAGATATTCAAGTGAACTTAGCATAATGGGAAAAATTACTTTGCTGAAAATGTTTATACAGACATTTTAGATAGGTAAGAGAACTTCTAAGACAACCTTTGTTTGTAGGGCAGGTATATGGCTCAACCTTTTAAAAATCCAAATTTCAAATTATTATAGGTCCCCATGCTATTTTAATAGAGCTGGAATATATTTTGCACAAAAGGTGATCTTTAAATGAGGGTAAAAAAAAAAAAAAAGAAATGATTAAATTCTTGTAATATTTTACATTCCAAGATATGGGGGGAGCACCGGAATATTCTGAACTACAATATGCCTTTTGTCAAAAATTTTTTACACAAAATTAAAAAGGTCAAGATGCTTTCACTTAATCTTTGAGCTGAGAAGGCAGACAGACGAAATAGATGACTCATATCAAGAAAGTATGGCTTAATGCGGATAAAATACTCACTATTTAAAAATTTTATTTTTATCTAGAGTAGTCATCCCCAACCAGGGAAGCCTTTCCACACACACACCCTGCACCCCACCAGGAGTTCCAATTTCGTATATAAAAGGAAAAAAAAAAAAATTATCAGATGTTTTATATTAGGCAATTCCTAAATTTGGCAAAAACAAAAATAGTCTTAATATTTGAATATTTTCATGCTAATTTGTCTGAAATTTTTTATATTCAAACTATCGTCCTCATTTTTGTTACTATCACAACGTTTCGGCCATTGTGCCCTCCGGCCGTCTTCAGGTGTACATTAATCTAGGTAATCTACAAGGAATTCTGAATTAATCACTTTATTTAATCTACAAGGTTAGACAGTTCTTAATGTCTAGGGATATTGTAGGTTTTTTTTTTTTAGCACTGCCCAGTTATTGCCCACCCGCTTCCTGTGAAATAAATTTTTAAAAAAGCTAAACGCTAGCCTCTATTTTGCTCTGCTTTATTGAATTTATAACATGTGTTTCATTGCATCTTAATATTAAAACTTTCTGACAATCGCAGCCATTTTTGACAAATCAGATACACTAGTTATTAAATACAAATTACAAAAAGGAGGTTACTATATAGGCATTTTAACAATTTTTTTTTTTTTTAAATGATATAAATTGAATTTACTTTTATCTGCAAATAAAATCAATCTTGTATCAATCAAGTTTGTGCTAGCCTAGTAGGACGAACAGTAAAGTTTGAACTTACACAAACTGAACAAGCCGAAAATGGAGTACAGCTGCCAAGTTTCATTTTCCAGTTTTTATAAAGTCCAAAAGCATCTACACAGCCCTGTGGGTGATGAGTTATTTTACAAGCTTCTCGTTATTTCCATAGAAAATATTTGGATGCGATACACTACTTAGTTCCACCAGCTCTTATCTTCAGAGCTCAGACCTGTCAAGCCACACCGGATCCTGTACAATCACCAAAGTTAAGCAATGTTGAGCCTGGTCAGTACCTAGATGGGTGACAACTTGGAAATACCAGGTGCTGTAAGCTTGGATGTGTGGGTGGTGTAAAGGATAATGGCTCAAAATCGTTAATCAAAGAACAGAGTTCTAAATTCCATTGGATTTGTTATATTGACCTGCATGCAAATATCCTTGGGAAAGGGATGAATCCACTTGTTCTTTCTCCAGCTATGGGTTAATTAGTCAAACTTGTATCACTAAACCATTATTACCCCCCCACCACCACACACACAAAAAAAAAAAAAAAAAAAAAAAAAATGTTGCATACAAAATATTTAGATTTTGGCATTATATAAACCATATAGAAGTTAATATGCTGCTAAACAGAAACAACCACCCAACTACCTAGTGAAATTGACTCCCAAGAGGTTGCTTCCCCAACCCCTACAATCTTAACCTTCTTACTCTTACTAATCACACAACAGACTTCCCCAGTAACCCTTTGTCTTGATTGGCTCTTGTGCCTTGTATAAGGTGAACATTAGCAAAACGAAAGAAAAAAAAAAAAAAAGTATATAGAATCCAATGAGGTTTGAACTCTCAGGAATTGATCTACATGGCAAGCTTTCTAAAATTAATTTAGACACCATATCAATAAATACAAATCTGTTTAACTGCGCAGAAAAGTTATTCGAAAGAGAGAGCCTCTT